CACACACACAGTCTCTTGCAAGCTGCAGGAACATGATGGCTGTTGTGAAATATTTCATTTCCTTGTTAGAATATAGAACTGAATTTATGAGCAAATATTTTTAACAAGAAGATATAAAATGTTTCTATTTCTTTTAGGGATGTACACATCTGTTTCTATGGCTACAGAGTGCTGGCTTGGGACTTTGGACCGGCTGAGTCCATCCAAGTTCAGGACCGGATGGGGGAATTGGGGGGGGGGGGGGGGGGGGGGGATTTTGGGTGGCGATGCTAATGGGAGAAGAGAAAGACAGAAAGGAGCGTGACTGTTCCAGATGTGATGGACAGTTAAAGGGTATTTTAAAATCCCTCCAAGATTTCTCCGGTTTCTTCTGGAGGCACAGGTCACAGCGCCTTCCGCCTCCATCTCTTCTTTGCTCTCTCAATCTAAAGGTGCTTTTCTTTTCTTGGGCCTGTTCCAGTTTTAAAAGTTTGTTTTCACTTTTCTAGTGGGAACTCCCCTCATCCAGCACACTGTCCAAAACCCTCAGGCCAAATCTGTAAAACAAAGCCAAATCTGTGGGACAAAGTCATACTGTAGCTGCAAAACAGTGAACTCCATAACAACGCGTTTGTTTCCACATTAGCTCAAACAAGTGAATGAAGCGCAGATAAATCTGCAGTAATTTACATTTCATCAGAGCATTTCCAAGCTGCGTTCCTGCAGGCGTCCTCCAGATTTGTTGTATCACTGTTCATACAAACAAATCATAAAGCAAAGTGTCGGCATACGGCGTGATTAGAGGCTTTATTATGTGGATGGATGGTGGGTGAGCAGAGTACACAACAGGGAGCTACAACAGTGTGCACTGGTGGTACTTCAGTGGGTCTCTCTGGCTTCAGCCTCATCTCAAAGAAGTACAGCAAAAATGATGAGTTGAATAATCAAAAATAAATCAGCGATATTTCTGATAATCACTTAATCATTTAAGTATATATTAAGCAACACGACTAAGAGTCTACAGCCACAGCGGCTCTGAGAGGCTAAACTGAGGCAAAGCTAAGTGCTAACATCAGCTAATATTTACTATAGACAAAACTCAAAGTACAGCTGAGGATGATGAGAATGTCATTCAGTGTTTAGTCATAAACAACAGTATTGGACCAATTGCAATTCTGACCTGATGGTGGCAGTAGTGAAAAGTAAGTACAATTCATCCAGACATGAACGTCTGAATCAAAGTCGTCATCTCATAGAGACGCCTCAGTAAAAGTCAGAGGATCAATGTTTCCAGCTTTTCCAATGTGACAATTTTCTGTTTTTTTTGCGGTTTTATATCAATACACATCGAGTTTTTTTCGTTGACAATAATCTCACCAAAACGGTTGGTTTAGGAGCTGTTCTGGAGCTTTCAGTCTTACAGCATGATCTTCATCAGAAGATGCAGTTCGCCCAGTTGTCATGGAGAAATTCAAATCAAAATTTCTTTGGAAACAGCGATTGACAAAGTAATCTTACCATTTAGTGGCAAAGTCCATCTGCTGAAGAAGTTCATGCTATATTATTAAAAAGCTCAAGCACAGCAACTACCAAGGTCAAAAAGTGTACATCTCACATTGAACGCAAACACGGGCAAGAAGTCCTTGATCTACAATTCCATGACAACTGGGCAAACTGCCTCTACTGGTGAAGATCATGCGATATGACTGAAAGCTCCATAACAGCTGCTAAATGGACCAATGTGTTTGTGTTTTGGTTGTAGATCAATTCGAACATGTTACTTTGGGTTCTGGGGATTTTTACTTTTTCTAGACTGAAAAGATTAACATTTTTTTATGATCAATCAATAGAATAATTGACAGATCAATCTATCATGAGTAATATATTTATGAATATAAGTTAGTTGCAGACATTAAAATTGTCAGCTGGCTACATTTTATTTTATTGCTGTCTTTAGAGCAAGGTGTTGCAAAATGCGCTCTGCCAAAGTTGTAAAAAAAAAAATATATATATATATATTTGTATGTCATCCTTCATCCTAAAGGCCACATAGCTGACTGAGAAGTGTTTTCCAACTTACAGATGTTTCGCACTTGCTTCTTGCCTCTGAGTGCGTTTCCATCGCAGCAGGAAGGACCATCAGAAACACTGAAAACAAGGTATCGTTATCTTTTAACAATTTTATGTAATCTTTGAAATGTCATGATTCATTCTGAAACTACATTCATTGCTATTCACTAGTAAGGATCAGTGACCACTACAAGTTCAGAGGCTGACGGGACAAGAACAAAACACTTCAGTGGTACAGGTGCACGACAGCCCTGAAGGTGTGTCACAACCACAGACAAAGGTGAACTGACAGAATGTGGGACACAGTGTAAAGAAGGGAATGTTGTTTTCCTTCATCTCAGCTGACCCGACATTGAGTAAACAGAGGGAAACAAATAGGTGCCTGAATGGGTGTTTTCTCTTCCCATTCCAACTCTTTTTTACGAGGAGTTTAAATTGCAGGCCCCGGAGGTCGTGGCCCCTCCGTTCCAATCCTACTGAGAGGAGGTGGGGCGGGGAACCTGTCGGCGAGAATAAAAGGCCCGTTGGCTGAAGACGTGCAGGCGTGCTCAAACCCCTGTCTGCCGGATGAACAGGAATGACCGCCTCCAACCGGCCGGCCGGCCCAGCTGCCTCGGGGAGATCCCAGGTGGCAAATATCCTCCTGCTGCGAGGGAGTGAGCTCTCGATCCCACCCTGTGAAGGTCAGGGAATCTGTGGAGTCAGGGTAGCCAGAGCAAGGTGGTTTTGGTGATCGGCGAGGCGTGACTTGCGGGGGCCGAAAGTTTCTGGCACCCCATTAACAGCAGGATGGGACAGTCCAGCGGTGCTTTAAGGGCCTTCAGCATCTCGTCCTCTCACCAACTTACAGCAGCCACAGCTGGACGGCCTGCTCTTGCTCCTTCCCAGCAACGCTCCTCTGGTTTATGCCGATGTCCTGGTGTGTGAAAGTGAGTGAGAGATTAACGGCTGCAGCTGAATAGCCTGTGTGTTTATTGTGTGTGTGCGCGCAACAGGTCTCGAATGGGTCCCTCGTGGCTACAGCAATGAAACAGGATCTGCCTCAGAGTTGAGCAGGTGAAGAGAAAGAAATACACAACACAGAGATGGGAACACACAGCAAAATGGAAAGAATGAGGTTAGAGGAGTGGGTGAGGGGAGCTTGGGAGAAAAGTGAGAGTCGGAGAAGGGGACAGAGTGGGACCGATATAAACACACAGGAGAAAAAAGGAGTACATTAGGGAGGAAGTCTGGTGGATGTAGGATTGAAAAATGATTTCCTCCTGCTCTGTATCTCCTACCTGCAGAGCCAGAGGAAATCCCCTTCTTCACGGTCCTCCGTTCCATCCCTCCTTCATCTTTACTGTGAGCGTCCAGCAGTTTGTAACCTCTCTAAGTGACACACAGACTATATAGTACCCGACTTGTTCTGCATAACACGAGGCCCTCAACTAAATGTGGCTTGGAAGGCCACACTGGGCTGTAATAAAAGCCATCTGCAAAGATGTTCAGGCCACCCGCTGTCACATTTTGACAAAAGCAAGGATGAAGTACTGCACATCTGTTGAGATTAAACAGAGACCAAATACATCAAAAATATTTACTATAGATACTGAAAATTTACAGTGTACAGAAATATGTATATACAAAAAAAGACAAATACAAAAAAAGCCCCAATCTGTCAAAAGATGGAAACATGCACAAGCAAATATTCATTACAAACGTATTTATTGAGTTGCAGAAAGCCATTTATAACTGTATAGAAAAAAAAAAAAAAATCAAAACAGTAACACTTTTGATCGCTATGACTTCCTCGTGATGATGGAATGTAAAATTTAAAAAAAAGAATGTTTATAAATATGATGAATGACAAAAGCGAATACATTCTGCTTTAACACAAACAGGTTATGAAGAAGAGGCGATTTGAGTCCAATCCCTTTGAACTCCTCCAGCATGCGCACAAATTCAAAACCTAGAAGAAGAAGACGAGAAAAAAAAAAGAAAGTCCAACTGAGGGTCTGCTTAGTCTCAAAGCTCTAAAGACCATACTGGTGCTTTGGAATGTTTTAGCCCACTGACGACACATATTTGACCAAATTAATTACCATTTTCCAAAACATACAAGATTTTAGATTGATTTCCTGTTTTTCAAGCAGTCACTGGTTTCAAATGATTTCAGTACACTATAATACTAGATGATCTACTGCAGCCTCCTTTATCTTTATTATAGTGATATGGCCCCGCGGCAGTCAGCACGGACCAGTTTCAAACTCTCCTTGCATTCAAGGATGCTCCAACATTCAAGCATTAAAGAGGCGGTCCAGTGATTTTGCATTACACTTCCATAAACATGGGGCTCTCACAAGAGACTGATTTAAAAAAAGAAATCAAATCAAAATCGTAGCAGCAGAGAGGAAGATATCCTGACTTTTTGTCCCGAGTGCGAGTCAAGCCCCAAAAAAAGAAACCTGGATCCTACATTCTCTCAGCCTTTAGAAAGCTCACTCAAGAGCCACAGACGACAAACAACCGTTTTCACAGTGCTACTCCTGAACTACATGTGTCAAATCAGTGGAGGGCCCATTTCTTAGTACGCTGCCAAAAAGCAGTATTGACGAGCAATGTTGCAGAAAAACGATAAGCAACCACGGATGAAGAAGAAAAAAAAAAAAAAGTGAATTTAGTAATTGCTGACTGCTGTTAGCAGCAACATTTAAAATAGGCTTGAATATGTAGTTTATGGGCTAGAACACACAAAGTCTTCCTAGACTGTATATAATATATACACAGCACAGATATGAAATGGACTGGTCCCACATCAGAGAAATGAGATGTGCCCTGACCCGGCGCTGATCTTACATACTGGATCAGCTGCGGTTACTTTCTCACGATAAACTCCTCGCTACAGTTTTCAGGTGATGAGGTGTAAGGCACTGAGAGCGCCTCGCAATGTGCAATGGTCAGCTGTTTCCTTGTACCTTTGTTCTCAACAAAAGTCCCAAACGGGGCCTAGTTTCCAAAAGAAGTGATCCGGCTCTTCAAACCTTGTGAAGCCGTTCTTAAGGGACTGGGTAGGACACACTGCTGCACGATCCCATCGGTGTTTGTGAAACATAATCTAGAACAGGAACGCGTGGAGCAATGAAACAGATGCACCAGCAGCAGCTTACTGATTGAGAGCACTGGAAGTGAACCTGTGTGTTCAATATACAGTAAATATGCACTTCCAAAGAAGACGTAGAAACAGGAAATGGGTGAAGACCTCATTGAAATGTCATCCGACAAAAACTGCAAAACAAAACCCTGCTTTGGTAAAGCAGTATTTAAATGCACCATCACTATATAGAGATGATTATCGCATTCGTTTAATAAAATGACAGGAAACAGATGTGACATTTTGACATTCCCACATCGGTTTTTTAGGGAAGGGGTGCAGACAGAGAAGCAGAAGGTTTGATTGTGTCGTACTGAACCCTTTCTATGTAAATACTGAAACGCCTGTGGCAGAACCTTCCTCTGCAAAGTGCAAAGGGTTGATGAGCACGGTACTACCTTTCAGATTGAGCAACTACCACCTCACCTCATGGATTCTATCAATTTAAAGAAAGTGTCTATTATTAACATAAGCTGCATACAGCACAGAAATGTAGGGCTGCCGTCTAATAACGTTTATTACTGAATTCATTGACGAATCGGTTCTTTTTGGCGTTAGGAACACTGCTTCTGCCACAAACTTAAATGATGATGCAGTCTGTGGAAACACGCAGTGTTGATATCGAGAAACCCCCCCCCCACAAAAAAAACACAAACTTTTGCAACAGAAAGCAGGCCTGCCCGTGACCGAAACGTTGGGACTTAGTAACAGTAAAAAATAAATTAAAATTGACCTAAAAACAAAAATATATATATTTATATTCTACAATCCGAGATTTCACCATTTACCAAAAAAAACAAAAAAAAACAAGAAAATCTGCAGCAACAGGAGGTTGGAGGGGATCCTTCATCAGGATGCGTTACTGTACGTCTACGCAGCAGCCGGGAGGCTTCACAGCTGAGGAAGGGATGCAGTCAGTACTGTGATATGGATGAGCAGAGAGGAGCAAGAGAGAAATGCGGTGTCCCAATTGAACTTTTGGTCTCCCCCGCCAGAGCGGGTAAACTAAACACAAATAGTCCCATGACTGAAGTCATTTAGACCGACCAAAATGAATATACATTTTCCTGATATGTGCTTTCGATGCTATTTCGTGTCGAGCATCTTAGAAAGCATAATCTTTTCAGTGAGCTCTCACCTGATATGAGCCGACACATTGGGGATAACACACAGCCGCTCTGTGTAGAGCCGGCCTTAACAAGCAGAAAGAACCTGCTTCATAGTTCCGCTAATATAATTCCCTTAGAGACAAAGACTTTACAGAGAAAACTGCAAAAACTGAAGTCTGTGTATCGCTAACTGTTAAGTGTCTCAAAGTGACACCGGTGTGTGTGTGTGTGTGTGTGACAGGTGACCCTCGCTGATTTATCTACCGTCAACTGGCTTGGCAAGTGTTAATTCTGGACCCTGGACAGGCTGTTAAAGAGCGAATGAATGAATGGACAAATGATGGGTGGTGGGGGGGGGCTGCTGCAGCTTGTTAGAAAGCACAGTAAAAACCTTTGATATTTACACTGAAGAAAGTGAATACATTCAGGCAGCGAAGGGGGAACGGCCTCTCCCATGTACGAGGTACGTTTGGCACTGCTAATACTCCTGCTAATACCTTTTTCTTCTGTGCCTTCATCAAGTTAGCCAGCGAGTCAAGCTAAATCCTGACATCTGTATATCAACATGTCACTTCTACTCTTTACTATTCATTCACGGGATACTCCAGGGGTTGAAGTGTTGAAACGAGGGGCCTGCAGAGCTTTCCTGCGACTGTCCCCTTGATAAGACGGGAACCGGGCAGATCCAGTCCTCCCCGTGTCCACCCTCTCCACTCCCTGCTTCAATCAGCAATAGTCTTTGGTTCAGAAGGCACATGTGTGCATCGCTCCACAGAAACCCTCCTGTATCTGTTTTTTTAAATTTATTTAATAATCTCCTTTGATATGAAAAACCCAGACAGTGTGCAGGCCCACCCGGATTCTAAGGGTTCTTTCTCCCAGAGTTGACACATTTCTCAGCTTCCTGTTTCGTAGTCCTTTGGGAAAAGCAGAGGGAGACTGTGGGTGGGTGTAAACTCAGATGCCGTTGGTCAGGTCTGTGATGATGTTGGCCTTCACCAGCTTGCGGAGGAACTCCTTCTCCTTGGATATGTTGTGGGTCCATGACTGCGGGAGAATCGGAAGAAGAAACAAATTCGGTGACACAAAAAATAACCCATGATCACTGTGAGAACACTTCGAGAGAACTCATTCTAAATGCATTTCTATATGCACTGAAACCTGTAGGATTCCCTATTCCCGGTGTCTATACGTGTGGGTGTTTATTTA